ACAACGTTCTTGCAAGTAGGTGTATCTTATATAGTATACAGATAATGTGATAGATCTCTGAGCATGAGTCTTGTCTGCATATTGTCTTGAAGGTATCCTTGAATGTACCAGTAATGGACAATGTGACTGTCTCAGCAATTTTCTTGGAAAGCGATGTGATGCCTGCGCTTCTGAGTACTACTGGAATCCATCTGGTAAAGGATGTGTTCTGTGTAACTGCGATGCTCGGGGATCGATTGGCACGAACTGTAACGTGTCAGGACAGTGTCAGTGTGAGCCTAACATCGAAGGACTAAGGTGCGACAGGTGCTTACCAGGAAATTACGGGTTTTCAAGGTAAAATAATACTCATTCTACTTGTTTTAATTTCTTTGAGAAATACTGCTAAACAATCGATAGCTGGTTTACATTGTTTGGAGCAGTTCATAAACTTGTTTTTTTTTTAAATGTATTTGCCGTCTATGGAACATTAATAGAGAGTGTTGGTTGTACTGTCAGGAAAACCTATATTGACACTGAGGATGTGATTTAGTTCGATTTAGAAGCACTTTTTGGGGTCTCTGAGATTTGCTTTGACAGTACACATGTTTGACCATTTGTTGGAACAGGAAATCTTTGAGGAGTCTCACATGGGTTGAATATAAATCCGAGAAATACCAGGGAAAATCGTAATAAAATAAAACCTTATTTTGTGATCGTTGATTTAAATATTGATTGATGATCATTTTTGTCATCAGTGGTAGATGTCAGTCATGTGGTTGTAATGGATCTGGAAGCATGGACAATACTTGTGATGTCGATACTGGCAAGTGCACCAGCTGTAAGAAGAACGTAGAGGGAAATAAGTGTGACACGTGCAAAAGTGGAACGATCAATCTTCAAGCAAACAATGAGTACGGATGCAGTAGAGGTGAATAATGTCTTTGAGTTATCATTTGCACGTTCAGACAGGATTTTGCTTTTCTGGTGCGTGTGTGCCTAATTGGAAGGGTTTCAAGCCATGGCAACCTCAACCGATCATCTCAAGATCTCCCTCCCCATCCCAAAGCAAATGTTGTTCATTCCCATCACTGACATCATATTTAGGACCCATCCTTCCTGTTTACACCTTCTTTCAAACAATCTTTATTTATTGCCAAATTTGCAAAACTACACGCACGAGGCGCACGAGCTCCGTGCAAAATCTCCGAATAATCTCCGAACATGCGAATTGATAAAAACTGATTCGAAGTTGATTTGCYCGGCCTTTGGCACGATAAACCCTTTACTATATAACTTCAAAGTAACTTAAAGCGATTAAAAAAACAATTTGAT